CGCTTGTGGCGGGGGGGGACGACCAACCCACCCCCAGATCTTGCAGGCCCAGCTAGCAGTGCCCTTCTGCAGCTGGGGGACTTGGACTGGGCTGGAACAGGGCAAGGCTGCCGCCCTGTTCTCTATGGGGAAAATGAGAGAGATGCAGCAGCCTCTTTGTCTGGGGTCAACTGAGCCCCCCAGAAATCAGATTCCTCAGGCATGAACCAAACAGGTGTGGATGTCTCTGGCCAGGGGAAAGTTCTTCAGACCTTGATTTGCCCTTTCCATCACTTCACAGACAGGAGAATTGCGCACGGAAGCTCGGAGCAGAAACAGAGGGTCCACGCTCCATGCACATTGTCCTCTCCAGATGGCAAGTTCTCCCCAGCCTTCACAGAGGATTCTCCAGCCTTGCAAATGGCAGCGTGGGGACCTGACCCAGAGCTCAGCTAGGGACTGGCCTCCTTCCAAGGACTGGGTTCATACAGCCCGCCAGGTGCACGGGTGTCCACGGCACCTCCCTGGCTGCACAAGACCCAGTCACCCACGAAGCCTGCTCTGGGCCAGACAGTCAACAGACTTGGCTGCTGCTTGTTTTCCCCAGTGCTCCGACTGTCCCTGCGTGAATGGGGATGAATAAAGGGCCCTGAGATGGCTTAACAGCGGTCCTGCCCCGCAACAAGCAAATCCCTCAGTGTAGTCCAGGAAAATTGCGCACCATGTACCAATCTATCTCTGACCATAGAATGGGAGTTGCAACTAGGAGTAGTTCTGGTTCTGAACTTGGCACTCCAGGCAATTAGGGACCATGAGCCAACCATTTGTCGATGGTTGGGCCATGCTGCAACCTGGCATGCCTTGCAAAGTGTTCTCTACTCCCTCGTGGGCCGTGTTATGTCCTTGCCAGTGGCTCTTCCTGCACACGGTCATTCATCCTCTTACTCTATCCTGCCACATCTAAAGGACTCACCATAGTTTACAAGGCAAATAAATCACAAAGCCTAAAATTCATAAAACCCATAGCACAGCAATGACGGCAAATACCTAAAATCAAAGCAAGACAGTCATCCACAGCAGCTTAGCCTAATCAGAGTAGCACATCAGAGGCCTGGTGGCAAAATTCAGGGGTTGCAGATGATAGCGGGAGGGCTGCAAATTGGACGTCTGGGGAAGCCATTCCATGAGGTTGGGATGGCTGTGAAAAAGCTCTCCCTGGGCCCCCAACCTATCTTGGCACTCAGACGTTCCCAACCAGGACAAGAGCAGAGGACAAGCAGGTTCCACCTGGAGGAGGTGGTCCTGAAGAAGGTCGTCTTTGTTTAGCTCCTCTTCTCTCCAGCTTTTTTTGTTTTGTTTTTGGAGGACTAGATATGCAAAACATATTGATTAACTGCATGAAGTTGATTCAACCCTGTGCGTGGTGAGGTCTCTTTGGGGCCCAAATTTACTTTTCTGTATTGACCTCTTTTTGATGTTCCGTCAACACAGTGACCTCCTCTTTGATCTAAAGAAGTGTGTTGGGTGAACCCAGCTAATGCTTTATAGATGATTAAATGGATTAATGTTGTTATCTTGCCTATCAGTATGTTCCTAACCGAGCTCAAGCCCTTTGTAGTTGTGTGTTTCAGATGGAGGGAGACAGAACACGTCTGCACTGAATTAGTGCAGAAGACCAGGCTACCTTGCTTTGGGAGCAATGCCAGAGCATTTGGGTGCTGCCTATCGCATGGTGGGGTAGCATGTAGTCTTCCCAACTGGCATTACAGAAGCAAGGAGCCAGCTCCCCCCAGTTCTGAGTTTCCGGCAACAATACTCTGAGTAGTCAACAGTTTGCCAGCATGGCTACGCCTGCGTTGACTCCGACCGTAAAAGAGATCACAGGTCTCCTCTGCAGAGTCTCCCCTTATCTGACAGCCGTGCAATCTCCAGAACAGAGGTTCCTCTTCGACTTTCACTCTGTAGCTGCCGACAGGTGAGGTATCAAAGGCCTGGTGGTTACAAGAGAGCTTTCAAAGATTAAGGAATGGGGCCTGGCCTGCAAATACCATCAGCACCACCACTACCCTCCCCCCCCCGCCCCCTGCCAGTTGGCTGGAGCTTCCTTCCAAATGCCAGGATGCAGAGCCCTCTCCCTTCCTGGCTGTGAAGAGTCTGAGAGCATAACACGCCAACAGGACATCTCTCAGCTACCAGCTGCTACTGCCGAGGTGCCCTGCCTCAGCAAAGACCAGGACTAATCCCAGGAGCAGAAACCTGTGGCATCACTATGAACACTCCGCTTAGGAATGCACTGGCTTGGCTCAGCCCTGGTGTACACCAAATGTGCTCCCAGGAGCAGAAATGAGGAATTCATTTATCCATTCATTTGCCCAGCACAGCAGAGGAATGTTGCCAAGCATGGCTGGTTCACTGCAGCTGGTCAGTGGAGTCCCTTGATCTTCAGGCAGCTGTCCAGCCCCTTAATGGAGCTAGTTGTGCAGGAAGCCCCTTCCTGAGGGTATTCGTCTGCAACATGTTCCTCTGACCACCCCCAATCTTGGGCACCAAGATCTCCTGTAAGGGAGTTGGAAACCAGTCCCACAATGTCAGCATGCCAACCCCACGAGCTCAGCTGAACTGCCTCTGAACCCAGTCAGCACCACGTGCCATGACTCAGGCCACACTCAGCCTGAAGCAACATCTCCAGACCTTTTTGCCTTCTCTGTTCTTCCACTTCTCCTTTCTCTCTGGCCCTCTGC